CAAAACTATGAATTTTTTATTATGTGATCACCCTTATCTACAAGATCCTACGTGGGAGTTACATTTTTTTCTACAGTGACTCGTCCTATAGTAACAAATAGCAATATGATGCTTTATACTTCTGAAGAACGTATCTGGACTAAGGATAAAATAATATACTTGATATGAAAAGGAATAAGTCACGCAATGACTGTAGCTATATGACCGTGCTCCTGGCTCCACCATTTTGAGCTGCTCTATGTGGTAAACCTTGAATGTAAATCTTTCCAGTAGTTATAAGTTGAAATATATACGTCACGCCATTTTGATCCAACGCCACCATAAATACCGTCGACAGCAGTAGAGATGATATTCATAAAGGAAAGACTAGGAAATAATCATAGTAACTGCTAGGTTTGAAGCTGTCACGAGTTCAATCAATCTGCCAACGAGAAACAAGACTCGGTGGCAAAAGACCAGCAAGCTAGCTATTGATGCATCCCAGCCCCGCCATCTAGGGGGGATGTCCAAGCTTAGAATGGGAAGCATATTCTGCAACAGCCGGAAAACGAGCGATCACAACACACACAATTTAAAGACGCATATATACAAATATATATGATCGATATGGACATGGAGCTTTTAAACATTTAATCGATAAGTTCGTCAATCGACTGTCATTGAAATATTTAAACATTTAATTGATTAGCTTGTCAATAGATTGTACGCGTGGATGGTAAGAAATGCCCACGCATACATCTGCATGCAAGCTCCACAAGATAGAATTACAAAATATGAGTTTTGGGGATCTATCGTCCCCAAAAGTAACTCACATGAAGGGATTTCCCTTTACATTCTTGTAGGCACAAGGAATAGACTACACACTAGTTTTTAAAGTTCTAAATTAACTTGGACACTAGCGATCTATAATTCTCATTTATGGGACAAACATTACAACAGTGTGTGTGTATTTGCAGGCTAGTTAATAGCTTCTACACTTTGCTACATACCTCTTCTAATTAGTTCATGTTTTTAAGAGTAGCCATTAAATGTATCGAAAGTACCAATGTAAACTGCCACTTTGCTCAAATATATAAATAGTTCAGGCGCTTGACTGAACATCTGGTCTAGTTGTTGACCATAACACAGACTGAAGATTTGCATAAAATAGCTGTCCTATCATTTGCAAATTAAGAAGGCTGACTAGTTTCACGAAAAAGAACCATGTAGAAGAGCGGAATAGCCATGTACTGATTCAGTATTTCATGTTCTAAACAGCTCTGAACCTTCGATCAATCATTTTCCGACTGCTAGTTGCTCGCTGTAATACGGCGTATATAAAGCAGTGCAACATTTACATCGTACATTTTCCTTTCACCACCATCAATTATATATTTGTGTGTCAATACCTCTCTGCCTGTTTTTGTTAAGACTATATGTAGTACCGTGGTGACACAAATGAACAACTTAGAGTAGGTCGTGTAATATTTGTAAAATTTTATCTTGTCCATAAACTGGCATCCATCATATAAATTACTGTATTCTGAAAATAAACTGTTTTATTATAACCGTGCTAACTCTATTTCTCCTTGAACGTCTAGTAGTCTTAACTCTCCAGATTTGGTCTGTTCCAGCTGTTTTTCCATAACACAGTTCCTATTTATATGAAACTCAGAAGAAGCAAACGTTTATCGGCATTAACATCAAATGAAACGCAAGTAGCTCTAGAGATATCACCTTTCTAATGTGCGTATCCTTTAGAATTTTTGCATCAGGTTTCTAATAAATACTGTCATCCTATTCTAAGATCCTATGTATCAGCAAATTCAAGAATGGCATAAAACAAGAATTCCAGTCGCGTCAAACATATTAGAGTGCAATGAAAATTAAACACTGAGCAATACCAAATATTTTCGTAAATCTGGCACAACTAGTAAATGTACAAACAATTTGCAAATCAAAAGAATTAGATAAATCAAATTGAAGAACTGCGTATTACCTCAAAAACGTCTAGACTTCATGACCACGGTTACGACTTGCCTTGGTCATGGTGAGACTATATGTCGTTAACCTACTAATCGTAAGCTCGGATATTTTAATGGCCGGAACTAAGCTTCATGGACTCATGTTTCGTGTCCATTGTAGAAAGAGTGAGATGACTGATAATGGGTTTCGTTAAACTGAAACCAGTTGTTGTAACGAAATGCCTTACAGAGGTACAAAACACAGAGTTCAAAAACACGCCTTCTAACAAATTTTGTTGTGACTCGCACACACAGACTTGTAACTTAACAGACTACACTCAGGTAGTATAAGAATTCAGTTCTTCACCATCTGGAAAGCTATCAGCATTTAAAAATATATGTTCAATAACAGACTTCGAGAAGTATTATTGTATATAAGCTTATTGAACAGTAACAATATGGCTGAAGAATGAGGAAACTTTTCATGAAAAGTTTGGGTCGTATATTTTCATTTATTCATATCATATCTTGTTCCCGCATCATAGATACTAATTAGAGACTATTTAAATGTACGAAATATGAGAAGCCTAGTAGATGCACATTGGAAGCGTATTAGTTTGGTAGTGGTGTTGGTCATAGCCACACAATCCTCAAAAATGAACGTGAAAAAACTGAGAAAATGGATATCTGCCGAATCACGAGTGGGTACGCCATTCTACACATCTCCCACAATGGCCAGCCAGCTTAGATCAGACAATTCTTGATACATCTATATTTTATCAGACGCATCTTAGAACCTCTTCGCTCCCGACTACTGATTTGACTTGGTTGACACATTTCGATTATAAAAGGTGTTACTGGCTAAGGTGTTGTCAAACTTTGAGTACTTCTGGCATCATTACCATCTTAAAGAGAGATGGCAGTAAACACTGGCAATTATTAGTCTGTGTAGAGTGAACTTGTTTGTTTCTTTACAAGTGAACTCTAAGATTCTATCATTTTGAAAATGATGAGCATTGTGCAATGACAGCGATAATCAGAGGTCAATAATTAGTAGAATAAATCTTGTAGATAACCACAAAGCTTATTGGATCGGTAAATGTTATTATAACTATCTACCCATTTATAACAAAGGCAAAAATCAATAATTTTTCACATCCTCCCATATGTCAGCTACAACTCTGATAGCATTCCCTACTAACAGACGTTGGTTGCCAACTGGAATCCATATGCAACCGGATAAACCACATGACGCCAGGATCAAGCATAAAGGCAAGTTGGAGCTGTGCATTCCACTTACGGACTGTCTTGATCATAAAAAAAAACGTGTAAATGATATGGGCTATCAACTTGGAAAACTCTGTATAAGTAGGCTACCTGTCTATTTACGTAAGGCTCATACGAACAAACAGGAAGGGGAAGCCAACGCGTTTCAAACTGAAAGCATAAACTGCTTATACATAAACGTCGCGAGTCTACCAAATAAGATGGATGAGCTACGTGAACTTAGCAATGCTAATGAGGTTCATCTGATAGGGAAATCTGAAACTTGGGTATCTTCTCAGTTTATGGACCAGGAGCTAGCAATACCTGTGATGTCTTTGTTTCGTAACGATTGAAAAACAAGAATTGGGGGTGTAGTAGCCGTATACATACGATCTTGCACACTCTGTTATGTTCTACAAAGCAGTCAGTTCTTCAAACGGTCCCCAATAGCTACAAGCAACCTACAATCATCAAGAATTACACACACGTTTGACGGAAGAACTTTCTACATAAATTTCAAAAGTCTCATTCGTCGCCATTTAGAGTACGGAAACATAGTATTTTCTCACCCACTCCAAAAGAAAAAGGACACTCAGTAGCGTATCCAACAGTGAGCCATGAAATCTGTTTGGGTAATCGAATCCAAGCCTTATGAAGGGCGCTTTCAATCGATAAAACTTTACTCATCAGAGCACAGCGGTCTTAGAGGTGCCCTTCTAATGGCTTACAGCATCCTTGGCATTTCTGGATATCCCCATAAACAACTATTTAACTCTAAATAAGAGAAACTCAGAAATTGGATGCCTAACACAGCAAAACGAACTTTAGGCACAACTTCTACTTCTTAGGAGTTGTCAAATGCTGGAATTCCCTGTCGGCTCAGCCGGTCAAATCGACTTCCCAGGAGTCCCTAAAGAGGAAACTTGAAATATTCTTAAGGAATAAGGATAGTATCTTACTATTATTTACTAATCTAGGTTCCTACCTGTAGGTATTGATGATCCACTGCTCCTAGGCACGTAAGTTTGTTAAGCGAAAGCTTCTATTCCGTCCACAACCGTTTGAAATATTTTTCGTACAATTTCGCACTCAGACTTTGGCCTCACTCAAAACGTCGGTGGAAATAGACACTAATCGTTCGGATTGTTTTCGAATCTAAAGAGTGTTCCATCAGAAAGAAACTCTAGTACTAAGAAGACGGAGATTATCAAAACTATGTGATATATTAGCGCAATACATTTCGAACAATCTGATCACACATATAGTTGTTAAGAGCATTTATATATAAAAATAAAAGGTCAACTAGACTGGAAATGGGGTAAGAGGATATAAGGATAATAATAAGAGTAATAATAATAATATTAATAATAATCTGAACACAATTCAAAACCTAATCACTCTGGATAATAAGTCAATATTACCAGGGTAGGTTTAAGGTAAGAACAAACTGTTTTTGAATACACAAAGGGGGTTTGAATTTTCGTATGGCTAAGGCTTCAATAAACCTTAGTATACGCCCTTTTACACTTTTATATAATACCTTATATCCTCTTACCCCATTTCCAGTCTAGTCGACCTTTTATTTTTATATATAAATGCTCTTAACAAGTATATGTGTGATCAGATTGTTCGAAATGTATTGCGCTAATATATCACATAGTTTTGATAATCTCCGTCTTCTTATTACATTATCGAAATTTATAAAAGGGACTAATTGTTTTAAAACTCTAGTACTATTTTTTTCAGAGCATAGGATATTGAAGGACCAGATATCTTGTTTCCAGGCTGAACGGCTGCTTGACCTTGGAGCCACTTCCTTTCTGTCAGCACCTGTTATAAATAAACATGCAAGTTGCTAGTCATCTTCGGTCTATTTGTGAGTTGTTTTGGTTCTAGATTTTAAAAATCAGTACATGATTATCGTACTGTAAAGTGTGTTTACGATGGTTACTTGATAGTGCTGTGACTAAGTAAAACCTAATGAGATTGTAGCAATTGGATTAAAATCTACATTCCTGTATAAGAAAGAATGAAAATACATTAGTTAAGTAAGCTGAAACAGCAAATGACACTAAGCAAAGTATCTTTGAGGTATTTTGGAGGTGATTAGTTCCCATTACTTGATATAATTCGGTCTTTGAATAGTCATTTTGATCATGCTCAGACTTGTGTAATAGGGATAGAATATCTACGGTCTGAATCCTACCATTTCTAGTAAGCTCCTATGGGCGTCTAGTCTTCGCTTGAAAGAGTCAATTGAAGGTGAGTACACCACTGCTTCGAGCAGCAGGTTCCAAGTATTGATGACTCGGTGTGAAAACTTATATGCCATGGGTATTTTGTTCGTTTTTGGCTTTTCTACTCGCCTGCTATGTCCTCTGAGATGTCGCGGTCTAGTGGAAAGAAACAGAATAAGTTAGATCCAAAATCATCTCTCAGTATTCTGTACATCAAAATCAGCTCTCCCCTTAGTCTGCGCTGGGACAGTAATGAGGTCCAGCTTTTCAAGCCGCTCTTTGTATGGTAAACCCGGAGTTCTGGATTGTACGGGTAGCTGTCCTCTGCACTTTTCCCAGGATATCCGAGACACATTTTAGACGAGAGCTTACAGCCTAAGCACTATCACAGCCCACACACAATCAAGTGGCTTGTGTGATGCATATGTATTCGGTGCCCCTTTGTACTAATATGTGTTCAAATAAATAGATAATAAATTTGTAAACACACTTGGCAACGTCGATAGGCATCAGGCATCTTTTAGTCCAACTGTCTAGAACATCTTAGTCCGCTTGAAATGCACATGGGTTTGCATCTCCTGTTATTGCTCTCCAGAGTTTTACATCGTCAGCGTATGGTAGCATTGGGGACTCAACTAGGGACTCCACTTATATTCAGTCTTAAAAGCTGAGAAGCTGGTGCGGAGCCTTGCGGGATATATCAAGTATTGTTAACCAGGCTTGGACACTTCTTGATTTTATATAACTTCGTCATCCAGATTCTCTTGGAGATTACGCTTATGTCTTCTGAGATTTTGGAGTGTGACCTACCAGATGGTCCACTTATTAACATAGAATAAGCGTATGAATAGTCCTGTTTGACGAAGATACTGATCACACTAAGAATACTGACGTGTTTGGCATGGGTTTCTCTTTGGAATCACGATGTTACTTCGCGGTTGATCTGTGTTAAGTCCGAAATCAATGACAAGAAATGAAGTAGTTCAGTGGGCCGACCGCTTCACTAGTCGTGGGAGTCCCATCAGTGAGTTGATGCCTGGCAAAATCTCAGTACGGAATCCATAAATCTGAACGGGTTTGTACCAACATCTCAATTATTTAGTCGCAATGTCGTGTACGAATTATCTCAAGATTTCATGATGTAGTTCGTCCGGTTCAGTTGAGTTTTTCGTGCATGAAGTGTTAAGGGTCTTGAGTTCATCGTCTCAATCAAAGTCCACAATGAGCAAACGATTTTTCGACTTTGTATTTGGGTCTAACTCTTTGTCTAGATGGGGCTCCTGAGTGAAAACTGACTCGAAATAGTTTTGCACATCCCCTACTTTTCCCTGATCATCCTTCATTATTTGAAATCCACTCCCTTCCGTAATTAGGTTGAGAATCCAGTGTTGCGTCCTTGTTCTGTAATTTATGTACGAGGATAGTTTCTTAGGCTGTTTGATTACAGGTTGGGCCAAATTTTTCATATTTTCGCTGAGCTACCCGGATTTTTATTATGTACTTGTTTCGTACCGACAAGTAGAATTCCGTCGTACTTGCTGTGCCAAGGCTGATGGCGATGTTTCAACATTCCTTCTATTGTATTAGTAAATGTCGAATATCCCGGTCTATCCAGAGATGGGCGTGCTTCTTTGGGACTTTCGAGGGTATATATGGCCGAATTACCTGATCGCACAACTGCCTGAAATGAGTCCATGCCTCTTCTGATTCCCCCGACCGTAACTGCTACCTTGACGTGGTGGTCGGGCTTGCCTATCGTGATGACCCAACCGAGCTATATTGGCTGGAACACATGTTCCTGCAGGTTCTATCACGCCAGGCAGGTCGATTGGAGAACGGTAAGACTAAAAGCAGCAACTCAAGGTCTGAGGGCGAAGTCGTACTGCTGACTGTACAGAGGTGTGACAGCAGTAAGGTGTTTCCCTCGGACAACCAGCATCTACAGCGATGCTGCCTTCTCACAAGGAAGGAAGGGGTTAGAAAAGGTTGACCCTAAAAATGTCACACTTCACCTTACCCCACGGATTTCCGTCTCCGGCGGTAAGGCCCTTTGAAGAACGGAGCTAACACATTAAAAACCTCCCACAAAAAGGCCGTGCGCGACCGGCCTCAAGCAGTTGTCCCTTGGGCTCTGCGGTCACGCACTCAGGTCGCTAAGACCAACACTAATCCGATTTCCTTTTCAGGTCCCTCAAGAAATACCCTTCCACGATGTGGGCAACCGGGAAGTAATATCAGCCCTCATACCCGTAACAGCACACGAGACCAAGTTGGTCACATTCAAATCCTTCCTACACCTCCTAATAACTCTCTTATCTCCACGACTAACCCTTCTTACGTCCCTTTATCACCTCGCCCCGCTAGTGCGAACGATTCGAGTACGCGGAATGTTATTCCTGGTCTCCTGAAACCGCGCTCCAAACTACACGTAGGAGCTTTCAACGTCCGAACACTGTGCCAAATAGGACGCCCCCAAATGCCCTGGTACGGCCGAGAGTGGGGAGAGTCCGCTCTCCCTCTCGAAATGCTCTCACATGGCCATGTGTATATAGCCTCTGCCAGGGAAGTCCTACTCACTGCCTTCTCGTGGCGGGGGTGTTGTTTACAAAAATGAGAGGACGAAAAGCGAATGTCTGGCGCTTTAACCGGATCCCAAACCAATGGTGCACATGGGCTCCAGTATCCTGAAGGAACAAATGGCGTATGAACCAATCGTTGGTCACCGGCTAACATGGGACTGCATCTCCTTACGATGCTCCACTTCCTTGTGGGTCAGACGTTCAGGTCAAAGGCTCGGGGTGTGGCCCCTTAAGAAAACCATCTGCTTCGGTTTGGGCACCCGGACAGTATCACAGCCCTCACACAAATCAATTGAGATTTGTGTGGCGCATATGTATTTGGTGCCTCCCTGTACCTATACGTATGTGTTAAAATAAATTTGGTGCCTCCCCAAATAGGACAACAGGCTTCCTTAGCTAAGACTTTAGAATCTCGCTCCATCGATGTGTGCTGCGTCTCCGAAACGCGCACACAGGATCCTAGTAGTGTCATTCATTTGACCGCACCACGTCAAAGTAACGAACCAACTCGATTTACGCTTCGTGTATCTGGAAGCCCTGATGCTGCTTCCCGTGGCCTCGCTGGCGTAGGTATAGCATTGAGTCCTATGGCAGAACTAGCTCTCTAAGACTAGATCCCAGTAGACAGTCGTTTGTGTGCTGTCCGACTAAACGGAACAGTAAGGACTCGAAAAGATAAAGACACTCATCGTTGCGTCTTTGTCGTCTCTGCCTACTCTCCCACTGACTGCAGCTCAGATGATGTAAAAGATGAGTTTTACAGAAAGCTTTCCGACCTTCTCCGAAAAGCTAGGCGTTCAGATGTAGTAATAGTGGCTGGTGACTTTAATGCTCAAGTAGGTAAACTAAGCGAAAAGGAAAGACACCTGGGTGAATCTTATGGTTTCCCCGGGTTCAAAGAACAGATAACGGCGACCGTCTGTTGCAGCTATGCTCAGATAACCGCCTGTTTCTTGCAAACACTAACTTTAGGCATAAGGAAAAACATCTTTTAACATGGCGACCCCCTAATTCGTCTCAACGCTGGACCCAAATAGATCACATCGCTATCAGCCACCGATGGAGGGGCTCGATAGAAGACTATCGCTCATTCTGGAGCACATGATTAGACTCAGATCATGCTCTGGTGCGAGCGCGTATTTGTCTACGTCTTACTGGATGTAGGAAACATGCTGCAAGGAAACCCCTTAGGGTCTTACTAAATGATAGTCAAGCTAAGAGTATATTTCAGGAACATCTAGAAAAACAGTTAGACAGCCATGTAAGTGACGCCCACCCCGAGGCATCGTGGAATGACATCCGAAAAGCTGTAGAAACAGCAGTGATGTCTGCAAGTACGGTAAACCATAAGGTTAGGGAGAAACACTGGATCTCAGCAGCATCTACCGCACTGATAGATGCTCGAAAACTCATTCCATCTGGCTCTGAACATAACGAAGAGCGGAGTCAGCTTAAGCGTAGGCTGACTAGAAGCCTACGCAAAGATCGTGAACAGTGGTGGGTAGCGAAAGCAATAGAGATGGAAAAGGCAGCGGCAATAGGTAACAGCAGGCAACTGTTCAGACTAGTTAAGGAAACCGGTATTAGGAACCCAACTGTTAGCGAAACAATCGCAGAGAAAGATGGACATATTATTCATTCTCAATCCAGGAGATTGGACCGATGGGCAGAATACTTTAGGGATCAGTTCAACTGGCCTTCAGCCACACTTCGGTTTCCCACGATCTCCAGTCGACCTGAATGGCAAGTTGATGTAAGTCCTTCGACTCTTTACGAAGTTGAAAAAGCTATAGGAAATCTGAAGCGTGGGAGAGCAGCAGGCCCTGACAGGTTTACCCCTGAGATTTTTAAGGATGGCGGTCCAGTATTAGCAGCGAGATTGACTGAGGTCTTAGGTAGAATCTGGGAACTGGACGTAATCCCATCTGACTGGTCTCAATCACTGATTGTACCAGTCTATAAGAAAGGACAAAAGTCCTGTGACAATCACAGAGGAATTAGTTTGACTAATATAGTGTCTAAAATATTAGCTTCAATAATACTTCGACGTCTAACCAAAGCTCGTGAAGAGCAGACTAGAGAAAACCAGGCTGGTTTTCGACATGGACGTGGTTGTATTGATCAAATATTCACATTACGTCAGGTCCTAGAACATAGACACACATTCAGACGCCCCACAATGGTAGTATTTCTCGACCTTAAGGCGGCATTTGACTCTGTTGATCGTGAGGTTCTATGGCGGTGTTTGTCACTGAAGGGAGTACCAAAGAACTACATCAACCTTATAAAGGCTCTCTACTCGAACACAACTGGTCGAGTTAGAGCTTATGGTGAACTGTCATCAGAATTGATTACCTCAAGTGGCGTTCGTCAGGGCTGTCCGCTATCTCCATTCTTGTTTAACTTTGTTGTTGACGTCTTTTTAGAGATGACACTTTCCTCATCTAAATTTCCATGACTTGAACTTCTACCGGGAGATCCACTTGCTGACTTAGAATATGCCGATGACATAGTTCTATTTAGTGAAGACGCTGACAAAATGCAGTCTGCTGACCACTCTAAGCAACAATGCAGGCATGTTCGGCATGCGATTTTCCCCCTCGAAACGAAAAATGTTACTTCAGGATTGGGTTGTGTCGACATCTGAACTAGTGATAGGGAGTGAAGTAGTTGAGCGTGTCAACCGCTTCACTTATCTTGGAAGTCTCATCAGCCCTTGTGGTCTGGTGTGTGACGAATTCTCAGCACGGATACAAAAGGCTCGACTAGCTTTTGCCAACTTGCGTCATTTGTGGCGTAGGCGAGATATCCGTCTATCAACCAAAGGACGTGTTTTCTGCGCAGCAGTTCGTTCCGTCCAACTCTATGGCAGTGAAACATGGCCAGTAAGAGTAGAGGATATTCGTAGGTTACTAGTTTTTGATCATAGGTGTCTTCGAAACATCGCTCGTATATCCTGGGACCACCGAGTAAGTAATGCAGTTGTTAGGAAACGGGTACTAGGTGAGGATGGAAAATCAATTGATGAAGTAGTGAAACTTAATCAGTTGAGATGGCTGGGACATGTGCTGCGCATGCCCAACCAGCGACTATCCCGATGTGCGGTGTTTCATGGTGTAGGAGTAGGTTGGAAGAAAGATAGGGGCGGCCGGACCAAAACATGGCACAAATCCATGAAGTCACTGACAAGTGGACTGAGTCATGTTGGTAGGTGTAGACTACCTGGTTGGGGACCTCGAGATGATAGCAACCGATGGTTAGAGACCTTGAATGACATGGCTCAAAATCGTTTGCAATGGCGCAGGTGCATCCACTCTTTGTGTTCCCTCAAACTCTAATCTTCTGTATTCTTCACGTCTTTTATTTTTCAAAATCTATTCCACTGGACTATACTCCTTAAATAACATCATCAAACCCTAATGTTCCCTATCACTACTTATACTTTCAGTACCTCTACCACTATGGGATTTGAATCAATAACTGAATCTCTGTGCTAATGTGGTATGGCAACGCGAACTGATGTAGGTACTTACGAAGTTCCACGTTGTAACTGACTGACTGACTCTTCTGATTCCTCTGAGTCAATTGTCCAGTTTTCAGCCGAGGCTGCAGAGTTGATCATCTTCATCTGGGCGCAACTGCTTTATAGGCCATCCTAGCCATGAACTTGAATAATGTGACTGCATGACCATTTCTCCATAAAGGTGGGAGTCAGGTTATTTGACTGACATCACCGTGTGTGAAGATTAAGTCATAGAGAGTCGTGTTTTGTTGGTCATTTCTGGTGGGGTCTCTAATGTACTGGAATAAATCTAGGACGATTGTGGTTTCTAACAACTTGCAATCAGGTGATGTTGATGACTGTACTTCTAAGTTTCCCCAATTTATATACAGTGCATTAGTCAACCACTATAAAGCTTTTGCCCTTACTACACCATGATTTAAGTTTGCATAGGAGAAAGTCATCCACTACACGTTGTGGGCTGCGGTATACTACAACTAATTCAATATCCTTCCGTTTGCATTTCAGTCTGCAGCGCACCAGTTCATATGTTCTTGAGTCGTGTGCTACTGTCTCGAAAGTTCGTATGGTTAGGGTACTTTTCGTGTACAGGATAACCCCACCACCCTTACGGTTTAATCTGTCAGTTCTACTAGGTAAGAAACCAAGCAATTGAATTTCACTACCATGCACTTTCGACGTTAACCATGCTTCTGAAATGGAAAAGACATCAGGGTTTTCTGTGCCCACCACTGTTTCGAGCTCCACCATTTTATTTTGTAGGCTGCGAACATTTGGATAACACGCCTTTGATTCTGTGAAAACCTTTCTCTTACCACCCGAAGTGGTTTGGAGATCATCTTGCTACGAACTTTTACAATGTGAAAACCCTTAAGTATGAAGTTTTTCACCGTTCTGATGGCGCTTATTTATTTCTACCTCTGTCGATGGTGTCTTAATACGATTAACTAGGTTCAGATGCTCACGGAGTTATGCTCCAGATCCAGTCAGTTTGCGTGAGTTTTGCACCATTGGGTTTCTTTCTTCGGCAAAAGGAAAGGTAACTTTTAAGAGGTGAATTTTTTTGCGTATCTTCAGAATTCACTTTTTGTCCTATTCTTTAAAGCTTATAGATACTGACTCCTGCGACTGTTTTTGTAGTAGCTTGTTTATTAAGGAATTAATGAGGCTTCGGTCGTGTTCAAATTTGGCTTTTGTTCCTCATCGGAAGATCCCCTTAATTTATGAACAATGACTGACCTGTCAGCGAGGTCCGTCTTACCGAGCTGTGGAGTCTTATTGCTTAAAATCTTTTCATTCATTCAGTCCGATTTGGCGTCAGATGCGGAGGTCTTAAACTGTTTCCTTACTTTTCTTTTCCTTGGTGTAACTGTAATCCAATGATTGACCTTATTATATCTGTTGATCACATCATCCACAGTTCAGTCAGTCAGTAACCACGCGTATATAGCCTCTGCCGGGGAAGTCCTACTCACTGCCTTCTCGTGGCGGGGGTGTTGTTTACGAAATTGAGAGGACGAAAAGCGAATGCCCGGCACTTCAACCGGATCCCAAACCAATGGTGCACATGGGCTCCAGTATCCTGAAGGAACAAATGGCGTATGAACCAATTTTCGGTCATCGGCTACCATGGGACTGCATCTCCTTACGATGCTCCACTTCCTTGTGGGTCAGACCTTCAGGTCGAAGGCTCGGGGTGTGGTCCCCTAAGAAAACCACCTGCTTCGGTTTGGGCACCCGGACAGTATCACAGCCCTCACACATATCAAACGAGATCTGTGTGGCGCATATGTATTTGGTGCATCCTTGTACCAATATCTGTGTTAAAATAAATAAATAAAATGATGATTGTCCTTAAGGTACTCCATTTTCAAGTAATCCAAAATATTTCAACAGTTGTATGGATTTGCTTTCAGTGGTGATTGGTATGTTTATTATAAACCTTCATCGTAATGCATAAACTTGTAAGTTGCTAGTATTCCTTCAGTCTCTGAAGTATTGCCTGCATGTAGCAACCATTATACAGACGATCCTAATCTTGGTCTTCATTTTAGTAGTGTCGTGTGATATGAGGGCAGTTATCATTCCCCGGTTGCTCATGCCATGATAGGATACTTATTGTGAGACTTAGCAAAGATACTTTTATACCCGAGAGTATGTTCCCATAGTCCAAAGCAACTGTTCTAGGCCGGTCACACTGCATTTTTGTATGTATGTATGCATGCACTGCTTGAAATGAAACCACGTTTATTAAGAGTTTGATTAAACTATATTATGCACAATAAACGGCACATAAAGATTAATATATCACATCTGGATCAGCGTTATCCTGTCTGACTTAGCACTGTCTTCATAGTTGAATAACCTTGGTCTTTTTATATTATGTTCAGTGGTTAGATTAGAGTACCAGTTAATTTCGTTTCCCTTCAAAAAAGCAAATTTCATAAAAACTAAATAAAATTTGTATAATAGTATGTTAAAAAATTGAGTCGTATGAGACTCCAATTTAGTGGCCTCACGTTTCATCTGTGCATTCATAAGTATATATAAACTGGATTTTTTTTTCATTTTTAGGCACGTTCTCGTTTACCAAGGTCGCAAACTCCCTGATATGCCCACTACAGGTAATTACGTTTTTTGCTTTTAAGACTTCAGAATGTTCGTTTTTACGCTGTTCCTGGAGTCAAAACTGCTTATGTTCGTGATAAGCCTCATATGAACATCGGTACAATAGGACACGTTGATCACGGAAAGACTACCCTCACTGCAGCTATCACAAAAAGTAAGAAGCAATTCAAATTCGTATATTTCCTAGTACTTTCCGGAAAGAACAACTCTGTCTATCGGAGCTATGAAGAAATTGACGCTGCTCCAGAAGAACGAAAACGTGGCATAACCATTAATGCAGCAGTGGTTGACTACTCAACGTCTAACCGGCATTACGCACACACAGATTGTCCTGGTCATGCCGACTACATAAAAAATATGATAACTGGTGCTAATCAGATGGAATGCGCCATTCTCGTCGTAGCAGCAACTGATGGCACTATGCCACAGACTAGAGAGCATTTATTATTGGCTAAGCAGATAGGAATAGAAAGATTAGTCGTTTTTATCAATAAAGCTGATGTGGCAGACCCAGAGATGCTAGAACTGGTTGAACTTGAAGTCAGAGATACATTAAAACATTATGGATTTGATGGAGATAATACGCCGATTGTCAGTGGTTCTGCCCTTTGTGCACTGGAAGTAAGTTATAAAATTTTTGACATAATTATGTAGAATCGCGACCCTAAAATGGGTATTGAAAAAATTGAAGAATTGCTTGATGCGATCGACTCAGTTCCTTTGCCGAAACGCGAAAAAGATAAACCTTTCTTACTTCCTATCGAACATGTATTTACGATTACTGGTCGAGGTACTGTTGTTACAGGTCGAATAGAACGTGGAATTCTTAAGCTTCAGTCACCGGTTGAAATAATTGGATATAGTCAGACTCTAAAATCCACTGTCACAGGTAAGTCATAGCTAGTATTTCAACGCTATCTGCCTACATGATTGAAATTACTAAGTTTACCGCTAAATATTAGAATGCAGTGTTGTCTAAGACCAAGCAAATGAAAGAATGACCTCTACACTGTGTTTCTCTGATAAAATATTTATTATAAACGAATTACTGTTCACTAAATATGGGTTTCAGTAACTTTTATGAATCATTATTTAACAAATGAAGGGCGACCTGAGGAATGTTGAAATAAATGAATATAATCTTGGCGATATGCGACTAAGTGATAACTCTTCATAGTACCGAAGTGTGGATGCAAATCTCTTAGATAAGCTGATATCAGAAAATGAAATGGGGATCAATAGAATAGGGTCTTTTCTAGAACAAAACAATTTGCCTCTATGCAAAATACTTGGTGTGAAATTAAACATGATTAAAATTCCTAAGCAATTAAATAACACGGATTCTTTAAACCATTCACTCATCGGTGAATTAAGACCAAACTATTAAGCTTGATTCTCACTCGACGTAACCATACATCAATATATTTAATTGCAAATGGCTACAAGCTAACTTCTGTACGAAAGCTACCTGACTCCTCAAATCTCAGTAGCTACCGGGTGGTTTGGACTTAGTAAATGTCAGCTCATCCATATCTTCTGATGAACTCAACTGTTATTGGATTTATTTTCACATACGTACACGGAAACACTGAAGTCAGTCTTATAAACTTCTGAATCTACCAACGTCCAGAAAAACGTTTTGATTGGAAGCGTCGTACATATCAACCATTAGTCTTTAGATATCAGGAATTTCTGTTGTCTTTATACGTCAGTTGAATAGTTTCCTCACTAATATCTTGTCAACAGATCCAAGTATACACTGCGTTCAGAGTTTTAATATATAGATAGTATCAAACCTCATGTTTTATGATATTTGTGTATTCCCAAAAGTTTGAAATTTTACCTTAATCAAGTCGAAAGTGCATAATCTAAAGCTAGGATTTCGGTTTTTCGGAAAGTCTTTACATTTTTCAAATCGATAAAACCATAAGTAAAAATAAAACGTTACCATCAGCCGTCAGTTGTGTTTATTATTCCATCCAGGGTTGTTAGTAAATTTTTAAATTAATCGAGAATGTTGTAAACATAGCCCATAGTCGAATTCGCTGATTGCAGCTATCTCGTAGACTCTAATTCAATAACATAACTCTTTTATCGCTTAGCAAAATGTTTTGGTTTTTCAGACAATCAAAAATCTTCCACTTTTAAATGGTAAAACTAAAGGTACACAAACACCTTTCCATTGTTTCATTCAAGCGGTAAGGATAGTCAGGTATGTCCAGTCTCACTATTCCTTTCCAACTTTGTCATCAATGACGTTCTGGAAACAGCTCTGATGGATATAGGTAATGGGAACCTGGGCAATATCTCAGCCCTCACATAAATTGAATCATTCATGTAGCGCATATCTGTTCGGTGCCTCCTTGTACCAATGTTTATGTGTTTGAATAAACAAATAAAATAAGTAATGGTGGTGTGTATCTGTTGCCTAGAGAAAGACTTCGACTTTGGGAATGCGGATGATATTATCTTACTATGCGAGGATAGCTAAATCATGCGATCCATTCTTATCAGTTGACAGTCAGTGTTCGTAAGTATGGCATGTTCTTTGCATATCCTGATTCCAAAGTTCTTTCACAAAACTGACAGGTTCCTGTACCTACACTCACTCTTGGTTACTTACTTACGCCTGTTACTTCTAATGGAGCATAGGTCGCCGACCAGCATTCTCCAACCCACTCTGCCCTGAGCATTCCTTTCCAGTTCTATCCAATTTTTGTTCATTTTTCTCATTTCTGTCTCCATTTCTCGCCGTAATGTGTTTTTTGGTCTTCCTCTTTTCCATTGGCCCTGAGGATTCCATGTGAGGACTTACCTTGTGACGCAATGGAGTGCTTTTTTCAATGTGTGTCCTATCCACTTCCAACGCTTCTTCCTGTTTTTTCCTCCGTTGTGATCTGATTTGTTCTCTCCCACAGTAGTTTGTTGCTGATAGTGTCTGACAGCTATTAATAAACACTTGTATCTTCTGGACGATGGCTTTCATAGTTCTACAGGTTTCCGCCCCATACAGTAGAACTGTCTTGACATTTGTATTGGAAATCCTGACCTTGGTGTTGGTTGACAGTTTTGAGTTCCAGATGTTCTTTGATTGCAGATATGCTGTTCTTGTTTTGCTGATCCGCGCCTTCATATCTGCATCAGATCAACCACCGTGTTCATTAATGATGCTGCCCAGATATGTAAAGGTTTTTACATCTTTTAAAGCTTCTCCGGTAATTGTGATTGAATTAGTGCATGTTGTGTTGAATCGGAGAATCTTGCTTTGCCCTTTGTGTTTGTTGAGACCTACAGCTGCTGGGGCTGCTGCTACACTGGTCGTCTTTTGCATTTGTTGTTGCGTGTGCGATAGAAGAGTTAGATCATCTGAGAAGTTTAGACCGTCCAGCTGCATCATAGCAGTCCACTGTATCTCATGCTCCCCCCAGGTGTTGACGTCTTCATAATCTAGTCGATCACTAGGAGAAAGAGAAAGGATGAGAGTAAACAACCTTGCCCAACACTGGTCTTTACTTCAAACGACTTTGTCAGCATGCTCGATTTTGCAGTTTAATCCATCATAGGAATTCCGTATGATATTGACTATTTTCTCAGGTACGCCGTAGAGTCGAAGAAGCTTCCATAGTGTTGTTCTGTCCACGCCATCGATTGCTTTTTCGTAGTCAGTGAAGTTGATGTAGAGTGATAAATTCCATTCAATTGATTGTTCCACTATGATCCGTAGAGTTGCGATTTGATCTGTGCACGATCTATCTTTACGAAATCCTGCCTGTTGGTCTCGAAGTTGGGCATCTACGGAGTCCTTCAAAATGTGTAACAACACCCTTCTTAAGACTTTTCCTGGTATTGAGAGAAGAGTGATGCTCCTGAGGTTTCGTACTTGCTGAGATCGCCTTTCTTTGGTATTTTGATCAGAAGTCCTTTCCAGTCTCTTGATACTTGTTCTTCATCTCAAATCTTGCTGAAGAGAATGTGGAATATCCTGGCAGTTACTGCTACGCCTGCTTTCAGTGCCTCTTCTGGAATGTTGTTTGGTCCTGCTGCTTTGCCGCCCTTAGTTTGTGTTGTGGCCATGCTAATCTCTTCAATTGTTGGCGGGCCAACATCGATTGGGAAGTCCGTGGGTGCTTCTTTGATGTTGGGTGGGTTTAGTGGGGCTGATCGATTCAAGAGTTCTTTAAAGTGTTCTACCCAACTGTTTCGTTGTTCTTCAATGTTGTTGTTTACCTTGCCTTCCTTGCTTTTCACTGGTCGTTCTGGGTTACGGTGATTTCCAGAGTTTCTTTGTTGTGTCATACAATTGTCTCTTGTTTGTTTCTCTTGCAGCCTTTTCCTCCGTCATTGCTAAATCTTCCAAATATTTACGTTTGTGGGTTCTGATGTTCCTCTTTACTTGCTTGTTTACTTCTGTGTATTCAAATTGTGTATTGGCTTTCTCTGCTCTTGTTCGGCTGGTATTGATTGCTGCTCTCTTGTTCCTCCTTCCTTGGATCTTATCCAGTGTGTCAACAATGATCCAATCCTTGTGATGGTGCTTCTTTTGGCCCAGAACCTCATGACGTGTTGAAGTGATTGCCTCCTTTTCAAGTTGCTTTCCATAGTAGCTCTTTCGGCATTGAGTAGATCATGAAAGGCCTGGAACTCATTGCTGAGGGCTATCTTGAATTTGTTGAGTTTGTCATTATCCCGAAGAAGAGCCGTATTAAATTTTTGTGATATTGTCCTCCCCATTGTCCAGTGCCTCTAGAGTTTCAATTTCATCTTGGCGACCAGCAAGTGATGATCTGATGCTATATCAGCTCCTCTCTTGGTTCTCACGTTCTCCATCGTCCTCCTGGACTTTTGTTGATGCAGATATGGTCGATTTGGTTCTGTGTGCTGTGATCCTGTGAAGTCCATCTGGTTTTGTGACTGCGTTTGTATGGGAATATAGTGCCACTTATGACCAGTTTATTGAAGGCAAATAGGTTTGCAAACCTCTCACCATTTTCGTTTCTTTCTCCTAGTCCATGTCGTCCCATAATGTCTTCATATCCAGTGTTGTCCATTCCAACTTTGGCATTTAGGTCTCCCACAAGAATGGTCAATTCCTTTGTTGGGCACTTCTCGTCATAGAATTGGTCTTTAACGTCTTCATTGTATTCGTTGGTAGGCGCTTAGCATTGGATAACGTTCATTGAGATGCCCCCTTTTTTGTTTTGAAGGAGGATTTGATGATCCTTGGTGCTTGTTTTGATAGCATCAATGCAACTATTTGTGTATGTGGGGCATTTTCTTCTTCATGGTCAGAGCATAGTAGAAGCTCCCCTGAAGCTAGTTGTTGTTGTCCAACTTGCGTCCTATGTGTTTCACTTATCCCAAGCATCTCTAGGTTTTATCTCCTCATTTCTGCAGCAATTTGAAAGACTCTCCCGGTTTCCCACATTGTACGAGCATTCCATGTACCTAAATAAATGGTTGCTCTAGTTTTCAGAAGGGGCATAGGCCTCATGGCTTCCGAAGGAACTTGGCTTTCACTATGGGGCATCATAACTCTTCTAAATGAAGACCTGACTCCCAGGGCAGAGTTTAACTGGTTTGAATAATTTTTTCTGGTTAGTGTTTTTAGCGAGTTATTCTTCTACGGGATGAGACTGTTTGGCACATTCGTGATGTTAGTCTAACTGAGAAAGGTTGGATTCACAGCACGTTGATGAGAGCAGTTTTTGTTTTATGCTTGTGAGACTTGACCCCCCCCCCCCGAGCTGAGGATGCTAGACGACTCTGTGTTTGATCATCGCTGTCTCCAAAGGATTTCTGCCATCCAGCGACAACACCATGTTAGTAATGCAGAGGTTCGGTATTGTGTTTTCGGGCACAGCGATGATTCAGTTGGTGTCTCTTGCACGAATTATTAGCTTTAATATGTATCTTGAAATAATTGTGACCGACTAAAATTACTTTCAAACTAATAATAGCTTTAAGTGGCAAGTTCGAGGTGTCGAAAATTGTTCATTGATGAGGAAGTGACTGTTCTTATGCTATTCTACTTTCCGTCTAGTGTTTATTAGCATCTTGTGCGACTGAACTGTTTGATTTCTACAACGTTTTTCAAAAAGTGATGTATCAAGTATGACAACTAAAAATCCCTCTGCATCGTCCCATAAATTTACTATCATTTATCGTTTTTCAATATGCTTGCACATTTTATCTATTTAGTCGATGCACAAACTCGGGTACAACTGAGCACTAAAAAGTGTGCTTCAAGCAGTAGTATGTTTATTTAAAATAAAATAATCATTCATACCTCGAGCAAATACTGCACTTCTGATATTTGTTTCGTAAACAAATTTTCAGTTCTTGTCCGTTTTATTGAAGTTGTGATACTGGTTTTACCAATCTATTCAAAGTGCTAATAATTCGATCACTGAATGTGTTATGATCTCTTTTATTATGACTCAGTTACTTGTTTCTTAGTATATTTCAGACACTACTTCACTCTACTAGTCGGCAAATCAGAACATAGATGAACAGGGACGTAATTATTTTCTGAATAAACAATATTGAATTGGAGTAAAAATCACAGTGAATAAAGTTTTTAATTTCTAATTTTACACAAGAAGATTCTAGAGACTTCCCTAATTATCCGTTGGCACTAATTTGCCAAGAAACGACCTATCAGCGTGCGCCAACACAATCTTTCACGGAATATGCCTTAATCTTGTCTATATCCCGCTAACAGAAAGAGATATGAAGTTGTCACAACAGTTCAGGCCTCTTATTACGTCTTTTCCTGAGTAATGCTGTAATTATAATCTTCAAGAAAAATTTGGACTGTGTGAATACGCCATGTTAAACTAACTGTCACAAACTCTCATTTGTTTCAGGAATTGAAATGTTTCACCAACTTTTGGATCAAGCAGAACCAGGTGACCAAGTTGGTATCTTAATGAGAGGAGTGAAACGGGATGAAGTAAGACGTGGCCAGTTTGTTGTAGAACCAAAGTCTATGTCAATACATGACTATGTTCAATGTCAGGTTAGTTTTTTGATGTTAGTGTTTCATAACACTTCTTGTAAGTACGTGTCGAAATAATGATATTATTTTTCTAGTATGGGTTGATCTAGTTCATACTTATAACTTAAAATACTATTATTACTTTGCAGTAAATCATGTACTTAGGTTTGGATGAAAATACTGAATTATGACTGAAGAGTATAGGACTTTATTTAAACTAAGGATTCTTTAGAATAAGTTCAAGATTCTTTTCAAATTGCAAATTGCCTGCATTACACATTACTAAATGTAAATAATGCACAATTTAAAGTAGTGTTATGATGCGTGTTTCTCAATGCGGTGTAAATTTTCTTTTAATATGTACGGAAATAACAGTTTCACGCCATAGAATGTTCGTTTTGCAACTATTTTCAAATGATATATGATCGATTAATATACATAATCTCTGCTAAAAGGTGTTTTTATTACGCATTTCCTTCTTTGGAATCGTAGTTAAAAATATTCTGTCAAATATTTGTGAATCTTTTTGAATAGAAATTCTTAATGTGTACTTCTAGGATTTTCACACAATCCATCGTGTTATCTAAACGAATTATCTTCACTCTTTCAAATTATATTTTCCATATACTTCTTTCAAACTAAATTAGACCTTTTTACCCATCTCTACATCTCTTTGTGGTCGTTTAGACATTCAACATCAATAAGTTGGTAGATTCATTGTTATATTCTATTGTTAAATTTGTAACATTACGAAAGTATTTAGCTTACTTTTACGCAAAAAGGAAGTCACACATTTAATGTTGATACAGTTCCACATTATTGGTAGAGAATTTTCAAGTAGTATATTCAGTTATAGATTTTTGTGTTATAACCAGTCCGCATATATAGAGTGATTATTTTGTCACTTAATTTCTTAGTTGTACATGGCATTTTGCGTGATACGTATTTGAATCCAGGATGGTCATTTATTTCTGTGGGTATGAGGTCAAATGATGTTAAATTTTTATTTAACCTATCTACACTAATAGCTTTCTTTTAGGTAGTTTGAAAAGAATATGTCACCATTTTATCAATAAGTTCAACATTTCACATATCATTTACTCCAGTTCATGGAACAAAGGATTTAATGATACTCAGAGCACACCGTTAGTCTACCTGTACATAAAATCGTATGTTCATTTTACCATATCAGTCCACCTACATGCTATGTTTGGGTCTAGTAGCTGTGAAGTTCACATAAAGGCAAAAAAGGTCTGTTACGAGGGGGGATTTTATTGAATTTTTAAATGAATGAATAGAACACTGGTTGATAGGTGAACGTAATTTTACGATGTAACTAAGCGATACCTCTACGCGTGACTGAATAGTGGACTTCCTAAAGAACTGAAATCAAAGAGAAAACAATTGTCTAAAAGAGGTTGTTTCTCTTAACATGTTTGTATACAAATTATTGACAGAAAAATAAATATGATTAAATATCATAAGCTATTAAAGGAAATTAGTTTTGTATGTCACTCACTTCAATAAATTAAGACTCAACTGTTGAGATCAGTTGTTCCTCATCAAGATTATGCTTAGTGTGGTTAAACTATTCGTTTTGCGCGTTAACATAATAATTCCCCTGTTGTACTGCTATCTGATAAATCACACCGGTTGTATGAAAACATCAGTCAACTATTTGGATCTAAGTAAACGAACGAGAGTTCGAATGCGTGAATAATTATCAACAATTCGAACCCCGAATTAATCCAAAGTGCAACTGTACACATTTTTACAATTTACACCAGTTTCAACTAACTCCATAAAGTTTTTAATCTATTGTCCATATCAAATAGTGTCGCATATTATGTTTCCTCCAATTATTCCTCTTATTTTACTACTGCATTTTTCCAAAAATTTCAATAAGTTTTCCGATTTTTGCAGGTGTATATGCTTTCAAAGAAAGAAGGTGGTCGTGCTAAACCATTTACGGGCAATCACCAATTCCATGTTTTCAGTAAATCGTGGGATTGTCCTGCTGTTCTAATACTCCCTGAAGGAAGGGAGATGGTTATGCCAGGGGAAGATGCAGCTGTGAACCTACACTTCCATAGGAAAATGGTTGGTCTCACCGAAATTAAATGTCTTATCAAACTTTATTGAAATAAAATTTTTAGATACCTAATAACTCGACAAAAATCGCTTGATTTGAAAATTCGTACTATCAATATTAAGAATCGAAAGGACGATTCAAACACAGTTTGCGTATTCTACCTTAAGTTTCATATATGTCTTAAATACGTCCTGGTTAATCTTTCCAAACGGGAACCAATTAATCGAAAAAAAATTCAAACAGTCCAAGGGATTTTGGCTTTACTTGCTTACTTACTCTTGTTACCACTCGTGGAAAAGCATAGACTGTCCATCAGGATTCTTTAGCTAACTCTGTACTAGGTAATCCTTTCCAGTTGTTTCTAATCGCTATTCATTCTTTTGATATCTGATTCCAATTCCTGACGCAATATATCCCATGGCCTTACGCTGTTCTTTTTGCCTTCAGGATTTCAAGTTAGGGCTTGCAGTTTGATGGTTTCCTCTACGTATGCGAAAATGTGCAAATCTCTCACCATTCTCGTTCCTTTATTCTAGTTCATATCGTCTCGTGATATCTTTGTCGTTTAGGTCTCCGATTAGGATGCTCACATTCATTGCGATCCCCTCCTTTGTTTTGAAGGATCCTTCGATTATTTTGAACCCATGAGACTGATCCTATATGTGCTTTTCGTGCTATTTTGAATGGCATCAGTGTAAATACTTGTGTATGCGAAGCATTTTCTTCCTCATGATCTATCAGTGTACAACAGCATCTGTCTCAAAGCCATCCTTTTTGTTTACCTTCAGCCCATTGAATTTCACTTAATCGGAGCACCGCAAAGTTGTATCTCCTAATCCTAGCTATTTGACTGGTTCCCCCAGTCTCCAACATTGTTCGTATATTCGATTTATGAATTTTAATTATTGCCCTGGTTGTTAGAAGGTCCATCGACCTTGTGACTTCCGAAGAATTTCGCTTTTCACAATAAGGCATCAATTTTCCTGAACGAAGATCCTTCAACTCGTTTAAATTGTTCTTCGTTGGAGTTTTTAGCAAGCTTGTTTTCCACAGGACGGTGTTACTGATCCCATAACCAACCCTTCATCTAGTTTTGTGACCGGCACTAACTCTAGATGGTCCACAGGCGGAGATTTTTGGTATAACATTTGAGTTAAAATCTATTTTGCGGTATACTACGCTTATATTATAATACGAAAATAAAACTGATCACGGTGACCAAGTTCATAACACTTCTAGATCGAATACTAGAGGGATCCTCTATACAAAGATCAGATCACGTTACCTCATACTTGATTGACGATCAAAAATAGAAAACCAGAGTTACGCCAGATAATACTTTATTCCACACTGTTACAAAGTCACTCAGTGAGTACGGAGTGGTGATCAATAATAAGAAATTAAATCATATTTAATAGTAAGTTATCTGCGTGTCTGATTATACACATTCATCGTCAAATCACATTTACTTCCACTACTTCACATCAGTTTTAATAGATAAAACTAGTTACATGCTTCTGTAGCTATTTACGTGATAAATCTTACCCGTTTTTTATCCTCTTATAAAACAAACTTTTTATTGTTGTAGGCTCTTGAGGTTGGACAGCGTTTTACTATACGTGCTAGTTCCGCTACTATTGGTTATGGTGTTGTTGGTAAAATCCTTACTGGTCCAGGTCCATTCAGCTGGTCTAAATAATGTCCAGTTATATTTGTAATTATTTTCAACTTTTGTGCTTCATCTATTAATGAATAAATCCTTAGTAAGAATATAATGTCTTACTATTTTATCACGATAAGCTTTTTGATCATCATCAGAAGCCTTTTTTAGTGTACACAAGTGCTCTTTATATTTGATACTCATTCGTCACCATTATATATTGAAAAGTTGGTCATAAAGTTTATTTTTCGAACCGTACAATACATTTGCGGATATGTAGTTTAAGATTTAGTGCGCTTTATTAATTGTTGATCAAAGTTGCTGCACCGAAAATGGTCAGTAACAGTGAGTTGTAACATTTTGAAATTTCAGTTCTTTGGAGATATAATTTATCCATTGAAATCTAAAGTGACAACCTTGAAACAATTATTGTTCATTGAATAACGAGATAGACTTAGGTTTAACACTCAAGATCTAATTTATTAGCGTGTGAACTACGAAACTGATATAATCCAATTGCTTGTGATATTTGGTCATCTCTATTCTGTTAATGGTTTGTATAAAAATGTGTTATTTTATCATAAAAAATTATTCTTCTGGTAAGTAGTCTTATCTTTGATCTCAAACCATCCAGGTGCTAGGATTATTGTATTTCGTCTGTCAATCGGCATTCCGTTTTAGTTTAGTAGTTGAACCATAAAATCTACTCATAGCAATCATGCAGAAAGCTAATTGATGTTTAAAAATGAGTTCCGTTTTAGTGAATAAAAAGTAATAAACACAAAACAATAGCGTTACTGCTCTGTGTTATCGAATTACGTTTTGACTCAGTGTTTTAAATTGAAGGGAAAAAATATACATACATTTAGAGATAAATACCGTTCTTTAAATGCTACTAATTTGAATTGTGTGACAGACGTATGACAAATCCAAACACATGAATATCTGTTATGTTAAGTAAAGCGAAAATGATGCATTGTTTGCTATGTACTAAAGAAATGCTAGTTCTGTGTCTGTGTAAACTTGAGTACAAATTACCTAGTTACCAACTGAAAACGACCCTTCTACTCACTAGGATGATAAATGATTTCTCGGATTTCATGATGTTTAGATAGTAGATAAGCTTATCTATTCCTTCCTTCAACTAAAGTGTTTTCGAACTAAACGATCTCTGCAAACTTTCCATGAGCATAACGTGTTAACTGGTGAATGTTTAGGTCAATAACGTAGTTGAACTTTGTCGAATTGTTGGAGACCTCTTTGGATTAATAAGAATGATGTGGCCAACCAGCTAACGTCGAATTCACACCTCGTGTTCAGCGCCTATCGTATATTGCCCTTCCATCGTATCAAGGTACTATGAGTGCTTTTGAGACCGTTTAATACAAACGACTTTATTACATAAATACAGTACAAGGAAGAGATTTCGACCACCCTAGCATGGGTCAGTCCATGCCGTGCATTTGTCCTTAAGCTTGTCGAGGATTGGTGAATTGTCCAATATTTAGTGACCCGACCGCCGAATGATTTGGCTTGTGCTCCGTGACATTTCACTGGCTTACAAATAATTTCGAGAGGAAATCCTGGGGCCATGCTTAGAATCGTCCACCGACGGACTTATTCAGATTAACCTTATTAGGTACGGAGACCACAAAAAGTATGAATCTTGTTGTGTGGTATGGGGACTATGCTGCATAGTTTGTATTTACCGATCGATTTATCAGTCAATCGTATGGATTAATGTCTGAGTCTGTAGTCAAGTTATTGTATTGTTGGACAAAAAATAACATAGATTAAAACCCATTATTAATCAGCCGGTTAGGATCAACAGTGCTATATGTCTATTCAAACCAGTGCATCGATGTATGCTCAAGTTTCGTGACATGATGCTATCAAAGAGATTCTGTCCCTCCTGTTTTTATGAATACTGATAGCTAAACGATTTCGTACTAGTATCAAGAAAGCATGTCGTGACATAATTTACAATCGGTACCTAACTAAAGGTAAGTGGTGGGGTGAGCTATCTCCAAATAATATAAATTAAGGCGATTCCTAAAACTTCATATTAGAGTCAACACATATGTTTCACGAAGTTAAGAGAGTCATTCTTTTCCGGTTACATTCATCACCATTCTGAAACCCGTATAGAAAGTTGTTTTTGTTCTCAGTAGATATTACTATGCTTAAGTGTTCTCCTGCAGAACAAAACTCCGTGTATCTGCTATATGTTTTAATCACTCGATAGCCAAACATTGAGAACGTACGTCTAAATGTTATTCTCAGTGCTTTGTCTAGTACTGTGTTAAGCCCACATGGATTATTCTAATCTCCAAACAGGTCAGTTAAACAGTTTTTCTTGATTCACTTTGATTGTGTCCAATATCCGCCCATCAACCTTGATTTTTTTTACATGGGCTTGTCTATGTATCACTTCACTCCATTTGGCCTATTTTAGCTCTTTCAAATTTAACATAACTTTTCTCCAGTCTAGTTCTTCGCTCCTTTGCTTTTTCATTTTGAATGTCTGTCTGGATAAACAAGTGCTAAAACAAATTCGTACAACTTAAAACGTGTTTAGCTTCTTATCGTTGCCGTTGCACGAACGGGTTTAGCCTAAATAATATACGAAGTGAAATGGAAGATTTATATTCATAACACATTCATACGATCCCACAAAAACTGGAATCAGAAGACCAACTCGCTTTTAACGTTGCAAATGTCAGTCGCCGGCTCGATAGCTGAAAATCTGTAAGCTTAAAGATGTGAACCGTTTCGATATTAAAAGTTCAACGACTCACAAAACTGTGCATCCGGAACAAGATCCTATTAGGAGATCGTTACGAAAACGTAGAAGACCAGATATTCTACAAGTGGACCCAAAGAAAAGAGCATACGTTTCTGAGGGGAGATATCAATGATGATATCTTAACTATTACTTGTAAATAGTGGCTAATCATTTTCTTTTTTTATTTATTCCAGTTGGTCAAATTAGTCACGCTTACACGGATCGCAACGTAAACCGGTTTCACTTATGCACTCAGTTGAATGGCAGTTATAACACTTTTTTTGTCAAGGGGGAAGATGATGTGAACCGGGAAACAAGAAGCCCTGACAAACTACGAAGGCTATTTTTCGGGACGTTATTTCATTTTATTCAAAGCTTGTAAAACACTGAAATTTATTTTTGTCCCTAATCTATTCTACAGAACATAAGCTTTCGTTCGAAGTATCATTCACTGCCATACCTTTTTCTGTTCCGAAGCTATTGTAATTTAAACATATTATTTTGCACCCTATTTTCTACTGTAATTCCCAGCTTTGGACATAATTGTATTTTTCCTAATTATTGTACGTTGCGGTCGGGTTATTCACTTATTTATTCATGTACCTTTTTACACTAATCTGAATTCAGTGAATCCAGTGAGTTAAGTGGTCAGGGAAATAGATCGAGTAGTGTTCCAGTTGTCTTGTCTTCTCTCTCATTCGTGTGCTTGCCCACCAATCAGGTGACAGAATAGTTTTCTTCTCTCTACCCCATCTCGAACTCACGCGTACTAGTCTCAAGGTTAAGCCGATCAGCCTATCGCATCAAGGTCGAAATCTAGATTAGACAAGTATCCTCGGCACCAAAAAGTGGGTAGACAAATCAAGGTCATAACAAAGTGGCGACGGAGATATTTTTTCTATATTGATTGATCCAGAACAAAATGTCTGTATCCTTGGACGACCTTAAAACTATTCTACAAATTCAGCAAGCGCAAAATGATGCAAATCAAATGAAGCTTTTAGATGCACTGATGCAGAAGCTGTCATTACATTCATCCACAACTTATCAATCAGATAAGTATGAATGCATCACGAATTCTATTTGTGAATTCCATTATGATCCTGAATGTGGTATCATTTTCAATTCCTGGTTTCACCGTTGCGAAGACATATTCCGTGTGGAATGCTCAAATCTTGATGACGCAGCTAAAGTTCGCCTACTCCTGAGAAGACTCGGAACACGTGAATACAACAAATATGTGTATTTCATCCTGCCACGAAATCCACGAGATGTATCTTTCAAAGAGACAGTCCAAATTTTATCTGACATTTTCGGCGAACAATCTTCATTATTTAATACTCGCTATCGATGTTTCCAAATATCGAAATCCCCAGATGATGATTATCTCACATATGCTGGTAAAGTAAATCGAGAATGCGAACTGTTCAAAATAAACGAGATTTCAGCTGACCAATTCAAATGCTTGATTTTTATATGTGGTTTAAAGAATGCAGAAGATGCAGATATCCGTACCAGGATGTTAGCACGCATTGAACAGGAACCGAATATGACACTACAAATGGTCACAACCGAGTGTCAGAGGTTGATAAATCTCAAGCATGATACCGCGATGGTGCAGCAGAAGGCTAAACCTTCCGATTTTGGTTCAATTAATGCTCTCAGATCCTCGACATCGTTCAAACAGAACACTACAAGCACACAACTACCTTCTGTCAAACCCCCATCACCATGTTGGTTCTGCGGAGCATGGCATTTTGCGAAACTATGTCCGTTCAAGAATCACAAATGCCGCAAATGTCATCGCATTGGTCATAAAGAAGGTCATTGCTCATCGAATAAACGTAAGTCTAAATGTCGTAGTGGAAATGCGAAGCAACCACCACAGAGTCAAATTAAAAGCACGTTCGCAGCCTTCAAAGTTGGTTTTCAAAGTAAGCGGAAGTACGTAAACTTATTAGTAAATGAAAAACCCATACGTCTTCAATTGGACACTGCTTCTGATGTTACACTGATTTCCAAAAACACATGGCGTAATCTGGGATATCCACGCATCCGACCAACAGAACATGTTGCTCGCAATGCTTCAGGAGATATAGTGAAGTTGACAGGAGAAGTCACATGCAACGTTGAATTCATGGGACATAAGTTCACCGATGTCTGTCATCTTACAAATCGGCACGATTTAGATTTATTAGGATTAGACTGGATTGAGAAGGTTGATACCTTGAATAAATTATTAAATGAGGTATGTTCTCAAAATGCTTCCTTTGAGTCTATCAAAATTCCTGATGATATTTCTAAATCAAATGCCTCCGAT